AGTCATTTATTGAAATTTATTTCTTGCTATTATTTCGAAAATGAAACATTTGCGACCCTATGTTCATAGGAGCATTTTTTCTTATTTTTGATACATGAACTCGCACACGAAGTTTGTAAACATACTTCTGACTCTCCTTGTATAAGCTCATCCTCAGGAATATAGCGTCAGACAAACAGGGTATATATATATATATATAGTTGAAATTTATTTGCGAAGAAAAACTATAAAGTGTTCTGTGGTCTTTTTTGCGTGTCTGCATAGCCAGACCAGCAGACTTTAAGCTGGAATTTGTTGTTCTGGAATTGTTACGTAGACATCAGAACGCTCAGATTATTCTGAGTAGCAGTGAGTGAATTGAATGAATAGCCCATCTTTATAAGCACAGTTCCGTTTTTATCTGCTACAAATCGAATTTCGTCTGCATTTCTTCTCTCTCTTCAACAAACATATTAGAATGTCGAAAATCAAGCGCTTAGTAAAGTACTGTAAGTCTATGTGACCAACTTAGTTGACCAGAGTTTTTAAGAACCTAATTGTTCGCTCAGTTGGTCACTGAATATCCCGCTTTTTTGCAACTCAAAGGCTGGTTACCTTTTTCACACGTTTTCAGTCGGCCACGTGTCTCTGTACTGTGCAGATGAATCCATTCCATCGTGTTTTCCTATGGTCCATTATATCATCCTTCTATATATGCCTAGGTATCCTACAATTTTATATAAAAATCTTTAAGATCGCAAATAGAGGTTCAAATCATCATTCACTTAAGAACAAATATAAGAGATGTCCATGTTGAGCTTCTGGTTATAACGCCGTGTGGACGTGTATGTTGATACCAACTGGGACGGAAGAAGGTTGTTTCTCTCATACGCGCACCCGGCCTTACAACCCAGAAGACCAACGTCTACATCTTCAGAGCTTAAGAACCTCCAACTCTCCGATATAATATATAGTATCACAGTGCGTTAGTAAACCCATATAATCTCAGTTGCTAGCTGGTACACAATTGTATACCGTTTCAGTGTTTGATTGTAACAATATATGCTTGGGTTATGAACAATACAAATTATTCTCCCTAACACCGTACATTTCATTTACAAGATTTTCCTAGTGAAGCTCGGTTTGTTCGATCGAAAATCACAGTCTTACGGTAAACCATTTTGGCAGTATGAGTGTGTATTCCAAGAACTTGGTGCATGCTAGAGAAATGCTGTGATATTGTAACATGGCGTGCTGGGACGGCGTGCTTATTGTTTTAGCTAACCCACCATTGTGTGCCCACATAAAGCAATCACTGTGACAAGTTGCTACATTTCTATGGACACGCAAGGCCAGTTCAAGTCTCGACTGTAATACAATGCTCTATAGGGTATAGGATATCAGTTAAACCTGTGACGCGTTGCTAGCTGTGATTGAGACTGATGGATTATGAACACCAGATCTTAACAAAGTTGTGATAACGTGAAGTGAAAAATATCGGCTATATGCAGTTACTGGTTAGTTACTGACGTCGATTTTATAATTGTCAGAAAGTGAAAGACCCTATTCCACATTTAAGATCCACTCTTGTTTAAACTTTGAAATAAATATAGACTAG